AGACACACACACACACACACACACACACACACACACACACACACACACACAAACCCACACATTTATCCATGAGGCTTTCACAATGACTTGCGACTTGATTATAATATTACGGATCAGAAAATTATTATTGTCATCGTTTAGTCTAACGTCTTCAATCTGTTTGAATACGATGAGTGGAGTGGTTATAAAAATTATGACAATTTAGTTAATGATAAGTCATCCCTTTAAACCGGCGTAACTTTTATCACATACCATTAAACAAAGCTACGAAAATACAGTTGGGACTGTTTAAGACGGCCACCCATTGTTGAGGAGAAAAGTGGTTGTCTTAATCAGGTCAACGTCTTACACAGTGAAATTCTAATATAAGAAATAGCAAAGGGAAAATGGGAAGTGGTCATTTGTAAAGGGGAATTTTCAAACAGCCGACCACCCCTTGAACCTTGCGACCTCTTGAGCTCGCGGGCTCCCGATTTATTTATTTTTTTATAGATAGCCGATAGAGCAGGTTCGACTGTGTACGATTCATCGGAGAATCAAGCTTTTGTGCTGCACATCGTTGCATACTGAGTGTTTCTATCTATTCCTTTTTAAGTTCCAACAACTACACTGACGAGCTGGCCTGGGGCTCCCTGTGGCTGTACCAGGCTACAAATGACCACAAGTATTTGGCTGAGGCTGAGAGACAATTCGACCCTGAGCCTGCATGGGGCATGTCCTGGGACGAGAAGACCATCGGAAACCAGGTCAGAATTCCTTCTTCTTTGCCAGGTGATCTAGAGCAGGGGTGTCAAACTCAACCCCACAGGGGACCTTACTCAAAGTATGCTTAAGGTTGCGGGTCGATATGGATCAACACACGCTGAGCAGTAGAAAAATTAAAAGTTAACATGAATTAAAAAAGTGATTAAAACAGACAAAAGTTAAAATAGTAACAAAAACAGTTTTGGCTATAATGCCAGTTTGTCAGAGCTGGATTTTTGACATCTTTATTTGGCAAAAAATTCGTTTACGTTTGGGGCGCAGTAAGATTATGTATTATGGAGATTCTCAGGATGAAGTACCTAAAATTGTCTCGGGTTATACTCGTTCGCTGGGCTTCATGCAGCCTGCGGGCATTGATCAAGAAAACCCTTCTCAACATTTCTGACAGAGAGAACAAAAAGTAATTGAGCCATCTATTTTGATAATCAAAGAGAGGTTTTGGGCACTCTCTGTTGAAAAATAAATGGAGGATATATCCTTAAGATTGCCACTAGCGTTATTTGTTTTGTAAGTGTGTTGAGATGTGCCCACAAGACATGCCATGCAGTGTCATTGTCTGTATGTGTATGTTTGTCATTTTTGTTGTCATTGTGAGTTCAATTCCTTAGAGGTAACTCTACTTTGTTGAGTACTTCCTCTGAGTTTTTAGAATGTTGTCATTATTCCACTCAGTCCAAATTGGCTCTGGTGGGCAATGTTGAGGAATTATCTCAGTTGTGTTGAAAATTTCGTAAAACATTAGCAATCTTAATAAATTCAAGCAAAAGGTGGCTTGCTTTTGTCGTGCTGTTTGTCGTGTCATACATGTTCAACTACTCACCTACCCCCCCCCCCCCCCCCCCGGGGGGGGGAGATGCTACTGACTGAAGTGGCTTTAGGCCATTCCCAAAGGGGGACATTAACATGTTCTTATGCTCAGTAGAATTGTAAATGGGCTGATTCATCAATGTCATGCTCATTACTGAGCCTGAAATGGATACGGGGAACTGCTGCTTTTTCTTTCATAATGCTTACTTTCGTCTTTTTTCCTTTACTTCTTTTGTAAGTTTGTCACTCTCTTGCGAGCCGCTATTTTCGGGGTGCCTTGATAGTCGAAGCAGACTTTGTGCTGTTGAAGCTAGAGAGGTGAGCAGAGTAAGGCTGATTCCCTGTAAGTGTAAGGACTTCTCTGTTGACATCCACCCCGTGGCGCTCATGTGACCTTATGCAGTTTCGAGCACCGTACAAACTCTACTAGAACTTTTTTTTTACTCCTCATCGACAGCTTCTCCTGTACAAGCTGACCCACAAAGAGAAGTACAAGACCGCTGTCATTGACACGTACAAGTCCTGGTTCCCCGGCGGTGACATCACGTACACACCCAAGGGCTTGGCTTTCCGACTAGAGTGGGCGTCCTTGAGATACGCTTGTAAGTATACTTAGTTCGATTCTAGTACTTGTCGTCTTTGCCTCTGATAGTCTCCACTACGCGCATTCTCTTTTACTCTCTGACATGCCAACGCTGCAGTCCTGCATATTCTTTGGTTTTAAAATACTGATTGGACATTTGAGTGGAATGTCAAGATTGGGTCTCTCAGTAGTCTCAGCTGCAATAGTCATTTTGGTACTAGTATAACATCCTGTTAGCGCGAAATGGTTTAGAAGGAGAGTCCCACATTTTTTGTGGTTCTGTGGACATGTTGGCAGAAAAGAAGGCAATGCAGAATGTAAATTAAATACGGAGAAAAACATACCAAAAGAATGAGCCGAACAAGAGTGGCATCCAAACTAATAATCAAAACAAAAACAATTAAAAGAATACGTGCATGTCTATTATGGTGGTGCATATGGCAACATTGTGGAGAGAAAGAGGAAACGGACGAAGCCTCGTTATTTTCCTATTGCCATTGCTATTGACTTTGACGCATTTGTTGACATTCTCATTTTGAATTGTTAGCACCATTTTGATTGACTTTATTTTTCATAATTTGTAGTGTCCTTGCCTGCCTGCGCATGGTTGTAAAACTCATAGAGCAAGCTGTAGAGCGTGGATGTGAGCTCAAAATATACGTGCAATTTTACTTTCCTTTTGATTTTTTCGTCTTCTGTTGCTGTTAAGTGTCGAGGGTAGATGCAGTTTTCTACGGCAGGCCAGCTATGCAGCTCTTTCGGTTGGGATATCATAATTTCTCAGGGTTCCCTTGACCCCTCAATCCATTTGTTGCGTGGTCTACCTCTTCTTTTATAGCCTGGGTACTTGGTGTTATAGGCTTTCTAAGCTGGCTGGCTAGGTGACATTCATAACAGGTGGCCGAACCATTCTGTTCTCTGTTTTTCTACGAACTGCAGGCAGGACTCAGTGCCAATAAAAAGGCACTCGATTTTACTTCTTCATTTCTCTGCCTGTCTCTTCTTGTGATGTTAAGGGTTTGCGAAGCATGCAACTTCTATTTATATTATCATTGTCATTATCATTGACCTTGTCTTCATCCCACAGCCAACATGGCAATGGCCGCTCTGATCGCCGCTGACGCGGGAATCAACCCTCGTGAATACCGCCATTGGGCCATGTGCCAGATCCACTATGCGCTGGGAGACTCAGGCCGTAGTTTCGTCGTTGGCTTCGGCCATAATCCTCCCAAGAGCCCACATCATAGAGGAAGGTAACACAACGAAACGAACCAGACGTCTTTTCTTTTTCACATTTCTTGTTTAGCACATGAATGGGCCAAGTTGAACGCTATACAGTCAAACCCTGTTATACCGATTCCCTCGGGAGGAGCATGATGTTGGCGGTACAGCGGGGTTTTCATTTCCTTTGTTAAATACATAATATGTATATTATAACACCGACTGCCCAACGTCAAGGGAACTTGTTCACCAAAGATTTGAGCGTGAGTCCTCACTAAATAAAAGTAAAAGCCTCGTGGGCATTGGCCAGCCTGTATGTTATTAGGCTGATATCTGTCGACGCCAGATATTTTGCCGGGGGGGGGGGGGGGGGGGAAAAAAAAAAACGGACGGAGGGAGGGGCACACACACACACACACACACACACACACACACACACACACACACACACACACATCTTAGGCAAAGTTCATAGGGGAAATAGATACCAGCAACTGATTTTTCTTTTTAATGAAGCCAACTGACAGAAATAAGTGTGACGGACATTTTTTAAAGAGAAATCTTGGAGAACTTCATAATTATACCTCTTAAAACACTTTTCGGCTGTATACCTTTTTTTTTAAAGATTATGACGAGGTCCTCGTATAAATAGCTCCTTTCTCTTGATCATTTACCATTAACGTATCTTCAAAACTGCCTTCTCACTGTGTCTTCCGGGTTTCTGCACAATGTGGAGCAACCATTTACTTTGTAATGTACGTAGCCTATTAGTTGTAATACAAAATATGTATACATGTATTTTTTTTCTATTTGACCCGTCACCTTACACCTAATATATTAAATAATAATTGTCGTTGATATTGTGTCCATGCCCAGCTCCTGCCCTGTGTTGCCTGCCCGCTGTGGTTCTTTCGCCATGAGAGCACCCGGCCCCAACGTGCACACTCTGTACGGAGCCCTGGTGGGCGGGCCAGGCAGCAGTGACGACTACAAGGACGAGCGAGACAACTACCAGAACAACGAGGTGGCCACAGACTACAACGCTGGGTTCACCACCGCCATTGCTGGTGAGTTTGTGTGTGTGCGTGCGTGCGCGCGCGCGCGCGTGTGTGTGTGTGTGTGTGAGTGTGTGTGTTGTGCGTGGGGATATGTGGCTGTATGTGTGTGTGTGTGTGTGTGTGTGTGTGTGTGTGTGTGTGTGTGTGTGTGTGCGCGTGCGTATGAATATTTTCTCTTCCTGTCTGGCCCAAAACCCTTTGATACAAAAAATGTACAATATGTTATCTATCTATCTATCTATCTGCCTGTCTATTTTTCTATTATTATTATTATTATACCCATGTGTTCCCCAGCTCTGAAGCATCTGTACATCAAGAAACTCCACCCCGAGCAGACAGGCTCCGCCCACTGCCCCTACAGTGCCGGCCATGCCGTCGTAGGGTGAAAGGTCAACAACAGGACATGTACAATTTTTACCTCTGGATGGAAATTTTTTATTCTCGAGGTTCATGTAGCAATAGTACCGATATGTTGTTCAAATAAAAATCAAATTGTCTCACTGATCAAGTTTAAGACCATGTACTGACTCGTATTTTTTTTTTCTCCTGCACCTTTGGAATGTCATCATGAAACATTGTTGAAGAGGAAGTTAACCACTCTATTCTACACACCATGGGTCATCTCGTAGTGTTGATGTTGACCACTTTACTATTACTCTACACACCATTAGAGCGTGCGGTGGCGGAGCGGTTAGTGCGCTCGTCTCCAAAGTGGAAAGTCAGGGTTAGAGCCACGGTTCGGACACAGATTTTTTTCGCCCCCTCCTGCCCACCCAGCGCAGCAGTAATGGGTACCTGACTTCAAGTTGGGGAAGTAAAGGCAGAGTGGAAAGGAACTGCCACCCTACCACAATATGCCGAAGGCCCAGGAAGTTGTCTCACTAACAAAGCAATCCCCAATGTCCGGATCGGATGCGGGAACAACCTTACACGCCACGAGTCATTTTGAAGTGCTGATGTTGACTGGTGTGCGTAATTTTAAAGAGTTGATGTTGCAGTTTACCTCTCTCACAGTATAGGTCATTTCGAAGAGTTAATGTGGGCAGCTATACTATACACACAATGAGTTCAATGAGTCATTTCAAACGCTGACATTGAAGTTGACAACTCTTCTAAATACCATGGGTCATAATTTCAAAGTGTTCTACTAGAAGTTCGCCACTCTATTACCTTATACACTTGGTCATTGGAATTTGTATCATGCATACAGCTTTAAAACCATCTGTCAAGACCCAAAGGCTGTATTAGATCTTTTTTTCTTTAAATGTACGTGTTTTCACGCCCCCACTGACACACTTTAGATCATTTAGGAGTCTGACTTCTGACCTTGCCTGTCAAGGCCAACCTGGGTTGAGAGAGATAAAACAACTAGATCTTTGGAAGGCAGAATATTTTGCTGAGTGATGAGAGAATAGAAGAAAGTAAGAAAGAAAAAAAAAGGAAGAAACAATTCACTATTGTAAATGCAAGCACTTTAACAAGAAAACAGGGAGCTAGAAACACCCACCAAACACAATACTATCGTCTATATTACCTCATTAAAACGATAAAAAGAAAAACTGAAATACATATATTTTATCACAGTTTTCTTCATTTTTAATTTTTATATAATTTTTGATCAGCAGTACAAGTGAATGAATACAAAAAAGGATTATGCTCTGACAGTGATACACACGCGTTCCTCAACAAAATGTGCGAGGAGGGAAAGTGAAAATCATCAGCACGCAGCACTTGTGCGTAGAATCACTCGTTCATACAGGAAAAAAATGTAACCGTAATTTATTGTAATTCTTTATATATCATGATCAGCACAGCTCGGAACATGAGGGTGAAATACTTGGCTTGCAAAAGGTATAAAATACTGAAAAAAGTAGAACACACATATAAAGGACTATCTCATTTCAAACAACAAGTCCTCGCAACAGATCAACATAAAATATGGTACCATAAAAAAGTACAACCGGAACAATCATCATTAAAATTCTGATAAAGAGGGGAGAAAAGTGCAATTGCCGAAACAGACACCACAGATCTCTTTGCAGATATCCATGGTGAATAAAAACCACGATCAACTCTGTGAAGCTTGAAGTATAAGTATTATTAGGTCATACAAACATACAGTACCCCACGGGAGTACACTAGCCAAGAGCATGCACTACCTTTAGCCTGCTCTGCACTAAACATCACGCCTCAATGTGAGGTTGAGTAAATATATAGCAGTCAACCCAAGGGAACTCTGGTGACAAGTGCTGTGGGCTCCGGTAAAGACTTAAAAGCATTTACTAATTATTTTTACAATACATTTTCTACGTGGTATTAAGCTGCATCTTACCGTGACTGCATAACTTTTACCTTTGAGCGAGCCACAGTGTGATGCTTGTGAGCCTTCAAAGTCATGCATTAAAAGTGTTTCCATTACAGGTACCGATGCTAAAAAAAATGTAAGTCAGAAATCACCACCAATTTGCACCAAAAGAAGCCAAATTAAGCCAACCAAAGTTACACCTAATCAAGATCTATGCGTGAGAGCACGTCATTAACATACACTTCCCCAGAAAGAGCCTCTAAGCAATACATACAGCAACAAAGCCAGCAACTTAAGACTTCTAAAAAGATGGCAAAAGTTCCAAACCCGACTTTGAGACCTCGGCGCTTTCTTGTCCTATCTCCATTTTTACTAACAGTGAAAACAGTTCAAAACAAAGAGTGAGCTTTAAAAAAAGTCACATTTTCAATGTTAAAAAAAATGAAGATAGGAAAAGAAAGCACTACGGTCGCGACTTGCTGCATAGCCACTACTTTTTATAAACAGCATATTCCCTAACAGGGTTTCAAGTAAAGAATTCAAAGCAAAATGATCTAACCGTACCTACTTCGAGCAGTGGCTGCCACACAGGCTATCGTATAAAAAACAACAGCATTACAAGACTGAAGTATTTAGCAATGAGAAAACAGTTCATTTTTTAGTAGTTTCAGGTAAGATATAAAACATTTTGTGGAGTAGCTGATGAAAACTTTCAGACTTAAAATTTCTTTTGTCCAAAAGATTTGACCCCTAAAAAGCAGGATTTCTTTGAGTAAAAGTCTGATCCAACAAGCAAAATTCTTTACTACAGTTCATTATTACCAGAAAATATCACAGTGTGTGGCTGTTCAAACCAGCTCATCGTTTGAATTAAGCTTGATGCAGGGAGTAAGTGTTATCAAATAATGGAAAGCATTTTGATTTTAAAACTTGTAGACCATTCAAAACAAGGTTGCTAGCATCAAGAAGAGATCAGCATTTGATTGGTCGCCGCTGCTCTGTACACATGGCACAAAACTACCCGTGCTGCTCAACAGCAAAAGAGGTAGGTCAAGGTCAAATCACAAAGCAGCAATGGCAAAATAATATCAAGAGAAAGCAGCTGAGTGAACAAGTGCACTATGGAAAGTATTAAAGACAAAGCAAACAGAGAAGTTGGGGGAGTTTTTTTCCCACCCAGCTATCCCATATATTTAAAAAATCCTTAAGCTATTTTAAGATACAAACATTAAACACTAAACAGCAAGTGTCTGTACATACGTTACAAAATTTACTGCGTGTATGCTGATATAGGACATTTGGTGATGTGACAACATATTAAGTAAGCAATGTACGAACAGGGAGCACTACTATCATATCCACACAACGTGCAGAACTCTGTGCCACCACTTCCAAAGAGGAAATTTACTCATTAATCCTATCCATACGCTTTGCATAGCAGTCTGTCAAAATGATTTTTTGAGAAATACTGAAAGTTTCAAAGAGATCTTCGCACTAGAAATATTCTAAAATGTGAAGAATACAACCCTTGGGGTACAAAATGACCCCAGGCGTACGGATAGGGTTAAAGAAATCTTTTGAAAGAATCAGATGGGGACAACGGTCATGATGAGAAGGTATAGAAGTGGCAGCCAAACCAGAGAGCTCACAAACCATCCATTTGGTTTTATGGAACTTGATTTAAAAGTGAGGCGTAAATATAAATTGTGTCAGAGTCCATCCACAGTACTGTCATGATCATCTTCTATCTATTTATACAACAAACCTGGTCTATTTAACGAGATTTTCACTAAGATAGGTGCTGTGTTCTACGAGTGAGATAAGTAATACATATCCATTACTCATAAAATGGCCTATATCAGGCATATGACTGAATACTTCAGATAAAATAATCTTTTTTTTTTTCTAACATGATAAAATCCCCAGTAAAAGTTCATACATTGGCATTGTAATGAAGCCTTCGAGTTGTCTTACCCCCGATCAGAAACAATATATTTCATCCTCACTGGCATTTGAGAATAAGAGGATAAAATTTTCATTTTCAATGAGTACCAGGCATCCATCCTGTTAAACATGTAAAAAAAAAGCTCCTGATTACAGTCGTATTTGAAGCTATGCTTTGGAGATGCCGTGGTCATTCAGAAGGTGCCAAAAGAGATGACGTCTGCTGCCAAAATTGAGACCACAGCCAGATTTCTGAAAGGACGAAATCCAGATAAATGATCAGTTACATCCAGAGTTAAGTATCTTTCAAAACATTTTTGTCCAGCATTTTATACCTTTAAGATCACAGTAGCTCAAAAAATGCCAACTGAAATAAGCTAATAAGCTCATATAAAGGTAACTTCTACATTGTTGCATGCATTTCGTGATACAAACTTTACCTAATACCTTCATTCTATCACACTTCATATTCAGAAGACCACAGCAACAGAAAAGGCAAGATTTCAATATGGACGATATTATGATGAACCAGACCCACATAAAGGAATCAAACCTCCTTCCAGCATGAAAGCTAACAAGCACCGACCCACACTTCCCATCAGTACTGGATATGCATACAACAAAGGCACATATTTTCCATTTTCAAAGAGATTGAATTAAAGTGTTCAGTTTATAGATAAGTGAGAGTTTTACAGCTCTTGCAACTCACATGACATTTGTGTTCTGCAGTCAGGTCTAGCTCCATCATATCCACCGAACCACTTGAAGTGCCCGTTATCAGCTGGAAAAAAAAAAAAATTGCATGCAAATTACGTATTTTCTACATGATCACAACATGCACATGCAAATAAAGGTAAACAAATGATGCAAGAATTCTGTTATTCTTACTAAACAACCAACAAAATCACAAATTCATACAAATGCATCATCTTTCACTTTTTCCAAGCATCATTCTACTATAGAGGCAACTAGGATTAGGAATCCTGTGATCGAAGCTCTCTCAACTTAAAACGGCCTTGAACATCTAGCTCTCACTGGCAAAACGGAAGGCAAATGAGGCAGGGGTAAGCCCTGAGCAGTCTACTTGGAGAACCTAAACTGAAGGGTGACAGGGAAACATCAGGGCAATGTAGCTTTTTTAAGAACATCCGAGCAAAGGAAAGAATGGAGAACCATGACCGCCGATATCTGTTGCAGATCTAGCACTTGATGATGACGATGATGAACTTAAAGACAATTTTTCAAATGCACATACCATATTGTCATGGACCAAGAGTTTGGTGATCACTCCTCTGTCAGCACCGAAGTAGACCTGAACAAGTTTGCGAGTCTGGAGAAAAAAATGAATATATCGTTTATTGTTTGTTTGAATACGAAAAAGCACATCCACACAATAATCGTTAAGTTTCAGTTTTAGAAAAGGTTTTATGGCGCTCGCACCTGCATAAGGTCATGAGCGCCAGAAGATTAGAGTTGTTACAAGAGAGTAACAAACATAAAAAAGAAGAAGGGGAGATTAGGACGATAGATGTTTGATAGGAAAGAAGGAGCAAACCACACCAGAGCACCCACCAACCACCCGCTACAATAATTGTCATTCAGTGCTGGGGAAAAAGTAAGACAGACAAACAGAAACAACACAGTGAAAGTAAAGAAGTAGGACGGAGCTGCCAGAGGCACCATCCAACCACCCGCATACATCATTCAGACACCAGGCTATTTCAGCAACAAGGTCGAAGGCCGAGGAGATCATTTCATATTCCATTTCTTCCTTGTTTTAATTTTTTTTTTTAATCAAAAACTCCTAGAGATGCAGTATTCCTTCATAATCAAAGTCATCAATGAGCTCTTTGCCACCGACACATATATGATCGGAGCATTATAGAAACAAAGAAAGAGTAAACTGACATGGTAACACCCACTACATATTGGAAGGAAAAAAAGCAGGACAGACAGAAACCACAGTAGGCAGCAAAGAAACAAGAGTAACCAGTGACAACCTTCAATGACCATAAAAGTAAAAGTGGAAGAGGGTACAAGTATGGATGACTCTATACTGCAAGAATCATTTGCTCCAATCCAAAACAGGCATATCAATAAGATAATGGTGAATTGGCTCTTGGGGCTCTTGGAAAAAGCAAGACAGACTGATAGAAATGACAGAGACAGTAAAACAAAAGGACCTGCTAGCAGCACCCTCCAACTATTCTTAACACCATATAGCAAGCTCAATTACCTAATCTGGAACGTCACTAAGAATATATACAAATCACCGACAGACACAGAAATAAGAGTAGCCTAACAAAGACCAGAATGGGTTCTCTCTCACTGACCTCAGCATTGTAGCAGCGGACCAGTTTGTCCATTCCCCCGGTGAAGAGATGGCCCTGGCTGTACCAGACGCTGTTAACGATACCTTTGTTGTCCTTGTAGAAATGGTCCAGTGTTGCCGTCTGAAAATAAAACGAATGCATATATTTAGGATTATTTTTAAGAAAAACCAGCTTTGATTGAACCTTTCTTCAAACACAAATTAATCTTGAAAGGTGAAAGCACTTTCTCAATGTCAATCATGTCTTCCAACAGATAAAAGAAAATCCTTACATGATTTCACAATAACTACCTGAGCTTCCAGTATATTCACTCAAAATTCACCAGCTAATTCCTCCCCCCCACCCTTTACACACACAAACACAAACACACACACACACACACACACAGAGCAATCTTGCCTATTAGAAACATAATCGTTCACGTATTCTGTTTCTACTGATTACCAAGTACCTATCTGTAGATCGGTAAACTAAGGAAGAGAGGCATAAGTACCTTTCCTAAGGATATCAAACTACAGTCAAACCTGCTGTAACGGCCACATACTCCCTCAGGTTCATAACTATCCCCACCTGACTTTCCTCTCCAAGAACATACAATGTAATTCATATGAGGGAAGGACTATTTTGAGAAGATGGACTTTCAGTATATAAGAGACACCTTAAATGTTTTATCAAAAAGACATAAAGACCAAAAATTTTACTTACCTGAATGGAAATGTGGCTTTTCAATCAATCATCGTTTCCCATAAAAATACTTACATGCAAATTCTGAGCCAGCACAGTACTGTCCCCAGAGCCACTGTACACAAGATGGCCATGAACCTGAATAGTGAATTCCAGTAGATTTGAATATACAAACAAACAAACAGGTACACAATAAGAACACGACATCTCAATTATTTTCACATTATTTTTGCGCTGTTATGTAAAAGAGCTGATGTCTTCCCCCCTTCCCTAACAAAATGACAAAAATATCCCTCCTCTCTCAATTACTTGTTATGTGTAATAACAGCTTCCAATGCAAACCTTACAATATACATGCACACTAGAAGTCATAAGTGGAGGTTTACCACTATTTGGTTTGGGGGTTTTTTCATTTCCAAGCCAACAATCAGTCTTTAATTACAAACAAAGCTTAAGTTCACTGTACATCCAGCCAATCTATTCACGAAAACCAATGATATAATGCGTCACTACACGTTGGAATCAGGCTCTCCACAATTTAGGGGCATATGGAGTTACTGGTATCATCGTAAAGCTTGTTCATTTGTTTTGCTTTACGTAAATATATACCCAGCCAATCATGAATAGAAGTCTACATATATACAATTGAAGGAGGTGGGGGTCACCTGTTGTTAGGGGTAAAATTAGCAAGAATATGGCCACCAAAGTTTTGGTGACTTCCAAAGCTCGAATGTCCTTAAAACCTGCAAATTTACATTTTTTTGTGCCTTTGGTCAATGTTTTCAGTAAAATCCACAAAGAAATATGTTTTTAAAGGACATAAAAGTAGTTGAGGCAACAAAAAAAAAAGATTCGAAAAAAATGCCCAACATGTAGAACTATGCTGGCTTCTTTGGTTTTATTATCTTGACGAGCGCCCGATGTGATCACGATGCCTCACAAAAACGGTCCCTCAAGGACCCTCTCACCTGTATGGAGAAGGCGGTCTTGGAGTGACCCACCAGGATCCTCAGGGGCAGGAGGTTGTGCGTGTCCACCACAATGATGGCCCCATCCTGGGCCGCCACACACAGGAGCTTGGTGAAACCTTCCTGGGCCGGGGCCATGCAGTGGATGGGTCTGTCGCTGCACACAAACCTCTCCTGTTCCTTCATTGCCTGAGAGAGAGAAACAGGGAACATGGAAATCAGCACTCATTATGGACTTTTATGTCTGGCAACTTCGTACAGATATCTCACTACCTTAGAATTGCAAAGTTTAATCTGACATTTTTGGCCATTTTGAGTTACGAAGACCATGAGGTCAGGAACCAAATGTTCTCTCTGCTTTACCAAAATCAAAAGATTATTAAAAGTTGTTTCCAAGATATTCAAAGAACTGCATTTGAAAAAGCTTGGAATGTTGTGAAACTCAAATTATTTAAAACAATTTTCTCAAAACTGGGTACTGAGCAGATGGAACTTGGTAATTCTGAGGTAGTGATCTGTCGACAATTCAGTCTCTCTTGAAAAATAAGTGCTGAAGATTAGGGGTGCTACAAAAGAGTAACAAACAGAAAAATGAAAGACAGATCAGGACAATAGATGTTTGATGGGAAAACGGAGTAAACCAGATCACATCACCCGTCAACCACCCACGTGCAAATTTTTTAGAGCCTCAGAATGTTTGCCAAATGTTTGTTTCAGTGTATAGAAACACACAGACACTATAATGGCTATTTCATGTATGTAAAGAGTAAGACAAACAGACAGAACAACAGAATGGAACAAATGTAGGACCTACCAGTAGCACCCTACGACCACTCACTCTTTAAAATATGAGGCAAAATATACTATGAAACTTTAAGACTACACAAGATTTTCAGATTCATGCTATGATGAAAAGAGAGAGGGAATGCATTATGTAAACAGCCTTTACAAGCTTCCAAACATGCAAAACAAAACATGCATGGGTGTCCAAACATAACAACACGAAAAGCATTCTCACCACCGTATCAAACACCGATATCTCTCCTGTGTTTGTGCCAATGTACAGAAGTGAAGACACCAGCAGAAAACACTTCACCACCACCCCATCCAGGAGGAAAATGCGGGCAGTCTTAGCCCAGCTGTCACTCTGGAAAAAAAAGAAAGTACGTATAATCTGATAATTCTACTTAGAAACTGTGAATTTTTACTAATTTTTAAAAAGATTTATCAATTAAATATTTCACCTTTCACTTAGTTTTCATAATCAATTCTCTGAAACAATCTTTCCGGAGCAAAAAGGCTAAAGAATTAAACAACAAACAACGGTTTTGCTGCAAAGAGAAAGACATTGATACTGCTTAGGTCATAACCCTTATTTAACACAATGAAATGATGAAAAAAGCACCCAAAAAAACCCAATAGAACTAAATAATAAAAGATGGAACTAAAAAAAAAAAATTTTTAATTTAAAAAATTGAATCTTCCAAAGCACATTCAGATCATCTGCTTCATTAAACATAGGTCCTGTATTGCTCCCTTTCTTGAACTAAAGTCACATTAACAGTGACGATCTCATTCTGACCTGATCAAGGATGACCATCTGACCGTTCATCCCCAGAACAGCCACATCCTCCTCTCCAAGCTTGGCGATACACATGCACTGAACATCCGGATAGTTGTACTTGTATAAAAACGTTTTGCTCTGTACGGATGGAAAATGAAAATACAAAATGAACAATGGCAACCTCTATTATCTCATGAGAAATGTGCACTGGTTCTGTATAAAAGCGACAAACACTTCTAACACGCAGACTCTATCTCTCTCAGAAAAAAAAAATAAACATGTTGGGTTTTTTTATTTAAGTTTAAAAACAAATAAAAACAAAAATAAAAAAATTAAGGGCTGTATTCAAAACTAAACCCATTCCAATTTATTGTAGCACTGAGGAGAGAATAAGATTAAGTTACACCTTGTGACTCATAGTCCTAAAAGAAAAGCACTTTACAGTGACCTCATCTTTCAGGAGCAAATGTACACAAATGCTATTTCAAATACAGACCTCCAGAACAAGAAAATCTAAGAGATGGTGTGCCACCTCACTCAGGCTTAATGGATACAAAAGTTAAGACTACCAGACAAGAAGGATTGATAGCTTGCAAACTATACACAACCAGTTCCTCTCTGTCGCTTATAGCCACAATATCTTTGCATTTTTAGAAGAAGCCTACGACTCAACATTCATCGGCACTGATTTCCAAGACAGAAGCTGACCAAGAGTACAAGAGAAAATGACCACTACTGACCTGCAGAGGGCCCAGCGCATCATAGACTCTGACCCCGTGGTTGCGATGACCCACAAAGAGCAGTCTGTTCATCACTTGGATGTCAAAGACGGAGCCGAAATTCCCAGGAAGCACGCTGTCTCCCTCCTCCAGAGGCACAGATAAAGAACCTTTCTCTGCGAGAGATGGCGTTGAAGCCGAGAGTGGTCTCGAAAGATTCGAAACAGAATGGTCCTTTCCTTTGGAGTGACTGGATCGAATATGTTCACCTTTGGAGAACATCGAAACCTCCTCATCAGACACGGTGATTGTTCCTTCCTCTCGAGACAATCCGCCCGTCGCTTTCATTTCACTTTGATCTTCTCTGAGCTTTCCTCTGAGAGAGCGAATGTGTCTCTGGGAAGCCTCATCTGCCACTGACCCAGAGACATCCGATGTGGTGGAAATGATGTTGCTCACAGTCACTGGTGAGGTCCTGGGGCTCCGACCGAAAGTTTTCTCAAAGCTCTCCCTCATTTCCCTCAAAGTATTTGTACGTAGGTTGATACTGAGGAAGACATAACAATAATCATGTCAACATAACTAAATGGAAAATCAAAACCATCTAAAAAATATTGTCAGATATTACAGCAGTCATACCTACAATCTTTAACTCAGTTAAGACTCTTTTCTTCTCCGAGGCACCTCTAAACACTTGCATTTGAAGGCATTTCTGAAAATCCAAGAGAAGCTCACAATGAATACATCCTTCCAGAAGAAGTTTTCATACAATGAGAAAACGGTATGCAAATTGGATGCTAAAACCAAGTTCTATTTGACTCGAACCTTACTGATAACTCTGGGAGACGCCATGAAAATTAAAGGCCTGATCCCAGCAGAACAAACAACCTGACCTACCTCTTTTGAAGAGCCTGAATCCTCAAATATTGGTGGATGTATCTTATCGAAAATGTCTTCAAATTGCTAGTCTGAGGCCATACTTTCAGCAAACAAACAGATTCCATCCATTAAGCACAATTTGTCGTGCACACTAGAGGCCACATACTAAAAGGAAATGTCTAATAAAACTAATTAGTTGTGCATAACCGTAAACTATAACATACCTCTCTGAATCAACTAATTCATGATTGGTGGAGGAGTCGCACTCAGCGACAGTAATGTTTGAGTTTGTCCAAACCCCCGATGCGATCACCGTCTTCGCCTGTGCAGCGTTCTGCGGCACCTCCTTGTCAGCATCAGCCATGCCCCCAGAGACAGTGGTCAACCCACCCTGGACGTCACTGCTGTCAGCGCTGTTGTTGCCGCTGGACGCCTGGCCACTACGACGCACGCGCGAGGTCACGGCTTTGATGTCCAACTCGTTGCCAGTGGCTTCTTTAGCCCCTTCCCCGTCTGAGGAGGAAGAGGAGAAAACCCAATGTCGTCGCCAGCGCCTCAGGCCGCTGTTGTCCCTCTCTTGTCGCGTCTTACGAATCTTTTTCTTGCCGTCGGAAGCGAGGCTGGATTGGTACGAGCTCCCCTCAAAGTTCCTCTCCATTAAGTGAAGAGCTTCAGCAGACCTCACTGCAGCCTTGTCCAGGTTGCCATAGATGCCTTAAACAATAAATTCACAAATAACGCACACATTTATCAAAAAAATATAATTTATCAACTTCAAGGACAAGTGAATTATTTTTTTAAATACATTTCATACATTTTTTCATACAAATTCTTTAATTTCACTTGGGATTTTGCAACAAAACATATCACTGCCCCAAATAAATCCTGGAAAAAAATTAATAATATGCCAAAAGCCTCAACATTGAGCCAAAACCTTTTCAAAAGAGTCCTGTAAACGTGTGATGTAAAAAATGAATGAAGTCACAAACCATTTCTTTCCCTTGCAGGAGTTCACATGCATACACAAAGCACCTTATTAGCAACTCAGTAACAACTCACATGAATTTTTTTAACAGCACTTTTTAAGAGACAGTCAAAAGAAACCCAGTGGCTAAGTAAGTAGTGAGTTTAGACTCTAAGTAATGTCAAGCAAGTGTCTGTGATACGGAGCTCAAATGGAAGGTCACTGGGGTGTGTCCTTGAGAAAGACACGACAGCCCTGGCTCAAAATACAGGGCGCTGGACAGTGGCCACTGACAATGGCATGGTTGTAAACTGTTCTGTATTTGTGCAATATTGTGCATTTATGTATTTATTTGTGCATGTATTTATGTATGTACGTATTTAAAATGTGTATTTATGTATGTATGTATGTTTGCCATTGTAAACCAAAGTGCCCTTCTGGGACAAATAAAGGTGTAAAAGTGTAAGTGTAAGTGTTCCATCATTCAAAATGAGTTAAAAATTGAAAAAAATAAGAACCTGCTTCTTCTTGCAGCTCCAGTTTCTCTATGATCACAGAGCAGGGCCGAACCACCTGCTCCCACTCTTCCCTAGGGACATACACGCTGCTCACAGCATCGGCCTCCTCCACCTCGATATTGCTGTCGTAACCCCTGACCTCGCTCGTGTTGGTGTCCGAGGGGGCAGACAGGATGACGGACAAGTCGTGGTGGTGCTGCGCGTCAGCCGAGGCCCCTGGCGTGCTGCGACAGTAACGAGAGATCTGCTCGCCGAGAGAGCTTCCGCTGGCGATGCTGCTGGCTATACTGCCGATGTCAGAGTCCTCTGCGCGGGGGCTTGTGTCTCCAACAACAATAGCAGCCGATGACCTCGGGGGTAAAACTACAGATGGATGCGGCGCTGAGACGAAAAAAAAAAAGAAAAGTTATAATTAATGCGAGGCTCAAAAACATAAGAACACTACACTTTCTACTTGCTATTGATATATGAGTGGGTGATGTCAATAGGAAGATTTGTCATAAAGAGATCTCGTCAGTGTGTTTGCGTTTTGGTGCCTATAAAATGGCACCTTGCACTGTATGCTTCTCAGGAAGTTGAGATTGTTTCAGAATGCTATCAGGTCTACTGGGATAATAATATAGAATGTAAAACGCATAGAGCTTGCTGTTGAGCAGGAATTTGCCCTATACAAATGCTATTTAATCAACACAAAACACATTGCATTATTCAAATTCTTACCATAAATTTAAAAAGTAGACTTTTTTTATTTTAATGGTAGGAACCAGTACCATAGAACCACTAGGAACCAAATGCTTGTTTTAGATTCAGGGTCCCCACCAAATCCTGGAAAATTTTTTCAAGACCCCCAAATTTTTTTCAAGACCCCAATTCGAGGGAAAAATCAGGCCGCTGCGCGTCAAGAATAATCCCCCAAAAAGCCCATCTATCAATGATAAAAAGTCAAAATGTCTATAAATGAATGCAAATGTACGTTTTGTAGTATAGTCTTCAAACAATAGATGACTATAATACTGGGTGACTGCCAACCCAGCTTCTCAATTTTCCAAGGGAGGGGCCTCATCCATTTTCCAGGAACACGTTACATAACAATGAAAGCGTGTGCTCCATTTATTATATATAATTTATATCTAATATAATACATGTATATGTTTGTGAATACACACACATACACATGTAGGTACATTATATCCAGTCAACAACATGTCAGTGTGGCACTGGGATCTTGAGAGACTTTGGTATTTCAGTCTGTTCTTACTTATTTCTATTTTCCCCTCATCATATTAGCCAACATAACAAACTATAGGCCCTATATAAAAAATGAATCCTGTTTTGAGCCTGAGAAAAGACCTAGAACTAGAATATCGACTGTCAATAACCAGTCTGGGCGTCCTGATTCATATAATAAACGTGAAGACGAAAACCACTGCTGCAACTCAAAGAAGAGTAATATTAGTAATAACTAGAATGGCTCAAGTACACCTATTCAGTGTGAGAGGTGTAAGAACTGGGGGGGCGCAAGATGCAGTGACACTGAAAATCTGCCAATCTTGAACAGAAAGCTAAAATATAGATATAAATTACAATCACCCCATCCAATGAAACGCGAACACTTTAGTTCAATAACAAGGCATGACGGATCCGGATTCCACACAAGGCCTGCACCAACGCGCGCTTTGCAGAGAGCTCTAAAGTAGTTGTCAAAATGCAAAAAATTTGCTTCCAAGTTCAGTTTTTGTCCTCTAGGGTTGCCTTCAGCTCCCCCCCCCCCCCCCAATCCCCTTCCACGAGTGTATCTTATAAAGGAGTCCTATACTTCACAGCGCTCAGACCGCCGGTACTCACAGGTTCATTGACCGGTCACGAGGGCGAACCTGTCAAGACGCTTGTATAAGTTCTTTTTCTTTTTTTTTTCCAGAAAGCGACAGCAGAGGGCAATTTTTAATATTGATTTATTTTCAAGGCGACACAGCGTTCATGGTGCATAACCTGCATGTTACAAATGTTGCGTTATCTATCATCAGTAGTATCAGACTATTACCGGAAAATTTCTGGGTGGTAACGAAAGCGAAAGTAGATCTTGATTCTTCCCGATCGAGCCTCGGTGTCACACATACACTTCCGCCACAGCGGTTCAATTACGTTTCCTCTTCAGGATTTATCAACCATACAGTCTAGATAGCTACACATTACACAGGCCCTATCCTTTCCCGACTCATCACAAAATTCCCGACTTTTTCCCGACCTATCTCAAATTTCCCGACTTTTTCCCGATTTCCCGACCTGGTGGGGACCCTGTAGATTTGATTTTAAAAAACCTTGAGAGTCTTCTGACAAAGAATCTGACACATTGACAATTTGTTGACAAATTTCAAAGAGACCAAATTTAAAAATCACAACTGTTTTCACACAACCTTACCAAGGAATCATTTCCAAGTATGCAACCTTTAATTTATCTCTTACAACTTCTTGCATCTTTAAAGACAATGCAGTTGTAAAACTTGCTTTTCTACACATGCAATTATACACAATGCAAATGAAAACAATCTTCTATTTAACATTATGTGCAGTACCTGTATTATGTCGTTCCCTACTGGGCTCTTGACTGCTTTCTGTGTGTGGGTCACTTGGGTTCACATCCTTCTCTCCCCCTTGAGGAGGCTCAGACAGCGACCTACACAAAGCACTCACCGAGCTCAGCCGCATCTGACCAGAAGAAAAACAAACAAAAACCTAATGAGGTGTACACTTTACCCCCAAGGGGAAATTTACTGGAATGCCCCCCACTTCTACACAAGTCCCCAATGACAATGAGTTATTTGTAGCAATAAACGGTCACTTCCTTTTCCAGTCATACCACCAGCAAATTAATACTGCTTATTGAATTCATGTAACAACAACTTATTTCTATTGGACAATCAATCATAACCCACTCATAACAACCAATCTGTCTGACGATTTCTGTAAGCATGCGATGTCTCTGGTATCCTTTCAATAAAGCTCTCCATGGTTCTAATCCCTCAGACCCACATGGTCTGAATTCTTAGTTGTGGGTAAGGTGTCCTATCATTTGGTGAGGTACTTTATTTTTTAGAATCTGCCCAGCTGAAAAAGGGTACTTAACACTCAAGAGAAATGTCAAATAATAATGATAGCACTCAACTGCTCACAGACTGCTATAAATGTACCCCCCCCCCCCTCCCCATGAGACACCGGCCGTAAAATACACAGATTGAACAAGAGAGCAATTGTGAAGTCTTGCGAGTCTTCCATAGAGAAAGTACACAAGTTTAAGCATGAGCAATTTTACTCTAAGTAAACCTAAAAGATTTTTTCCTTGTAATTTTATACGGTCTTTTCAATCATGAAATTGCAATCCCTTCAACGAAGAGACACAATATGTGATGAATTCATTATTTTTCGTTAGAGGGAAAAAAAATCAGTCTCATGTTCCTTTGCAGATACGCATCAGGCTCTCCTTATAAAAAAAACTGCTGAGTAACTTTCTTCCATATTGCTTTTTTAATTTCAATATCTCACGGGAAATGGAGAAGCCTCAAGCATAAGCATGTCTAACTCACGAGCACTTACCACGTTAGGATTCTTGAAGCTGCCGACATACATCACTGGCAATCCAGCCATGAGCGGAGTTGAGGACGGGAGAGAGACGGCCACAGCAGGCTCAGCAAGATGGCAAAAACTACTTTGAGGTACAACGTTGGACGGAGTGGCACAACTCGAAGGCACTGAAGCCCCAACAGCGACCCCAGTACCTGCTGTTTTTTCTTGGTCCCGATCACTTCTGTCGGCCATAACAACGTCTTCCACCTGGGGCTCTGAGATGGAAACTCTTGGTGATGTCAAAGGTGAACGAAAAGTTTGCTTACTCAACGACGACGAGTCTTTTTCCTGAGTTTTTTTACTCTGGCTGCCTGACACCATATCTGGAGGTAGGTAGGAGGAGAATTTTGCTAGCCAATCAGCTTTAGACAGAGCAGTGCCTGGAATGTAGGGTTCGTCAGAGGAAGCGGAACCAGGAGCCACCTGGGTTGAGCCCTGAGTAGTAGCCGTGCTTGTGCTGACAACAGAAGTCGTAGGGGCAGTTATCACACTCGTGGTGGTCGACCTGGAAGATTGTGGTCCCTGAGAATCTTGTTGGCTCACTTCAGAGAGCAGACTTGAGTTATGTAGATCAGACACACTAGACCTCATGCTTTGCTTGGACGATGTTGCATCTACAAAGAAAGAAAAACCAAAGGCATAGCACAAAAGTAAAGAAATATTTTTACACCTATAAAGAAAACTCGAAACTTTTCTTAATAACAAATTGTAATTGAAGGGCTGTCCAAGCTTTTAAAGAAAATTTTTTAGACCCATAAAAAAAACATGAACCTTTTCTTAATAACAAATGGTATATGAAGGGCTGTCCAGGCTTTGCGTACAACAAGCACCCCTTGATAGAAGTGTACTAGTGAGAAGGCAAAAGTAGAGGTCTGTTCAGTATACATTCTCTCATAAAGTGGTTTCCACCTCTCTCTCTCTCTCTCTTCTGGCGCTGTGGCTTCATAAACGGTCAGCGATGCCGACAGCACGCAGGAACTCAACACTCGCCCGGGGGTCCTTAAAAAGTGCTGAAAGTGGGTTACTGAAATGTCCCAGCAGATGGGTTCTAGCACGATAGCTGGCGGGACATCTCAGGAATACATGGTCCATAGTTTCGTCCTCCTCCTTGCAGGCTCGACAGGACGGATCTGGGTTGTCCGCTGGCGCAATATTGTGGAGATATGATCTCAGCTTGGGCGATTTTCCACCAGTTCTCATTTGGGAGAGAAGCCGGCTGTCCTGTCGTCTGAGCGAGGCCTCAAGCTGGTATGACGGCGGCTGGGCAAACAGCAGTTTGGGTTTCGCCTCTCTCTTCCACTTTGCACGAGTCGATTGGTGGATGACGGCTTTAGCTGTCGAGAAATCGATTGGCGTGTCAATCTGCGTAAGCGCTGTTGCTTTTTTGGCGATACTGTCAACTTCCTCGTTCCCAGCCAGTCCAGCGTGGCCTGGAATCCACAGTAAGTGGATGGAACATTCAGAGCGTTGACAGAGGGTGTGAAGATGTTGCCAGATTGAGCAGGCCACCTTTTCCGATTGGTTGGTAGGGCCGTATGAGAGGCGCATGACTGCTGACCTAGAATCAGTGTATACATGGATGCGTGCACTGTTCGGAAAGCTGCCTGCTGTATGTAGTGCCACAAGCATATCAAGCGCTGTGTCGAGAGCTACAAGCTCGGCCCTGTAGCTGGAACAATACCGGCCCGCAGGTACACGTTGGTCGAGTTCGGTATCACCGGTCTTGATCAGTATTCCACTTCCTCCATACTCAGTACCCTGCTTAGCTGAACCGTCAGTCCAGACTTCTACATTGGGCAGGGGTAGCGATCGAATTGTAGCCTCTGCTGCTGCTTTCCAGACAGCTGGTTCATTAGCACACTTGCAGTCGACGACAAGATCGGTGCTAAAAGTCACGTTGTATGGTGCAGCCTTCCACGGTTGTGTGGGGGGTAAAACAACCAGCTTCTCACGTGGGTACGTATCCAGTTCAGTTTCAGCTACGAGGTTCTGGACATGCTTTCTCCAGTTCGACTTGCCTGTCCGCGTGGGCACTGATTTTGTTGTGGAGGCTCTGCGTTGGTTCGTTGCAGGTAGACGCATGGACTTCTCGAATGACATGGCAGTCAAGGCATCAGCTCTAATGTCTGCTTCAATGAGGAGGTTGTCCACACGAGTATCCTTTGAGCAGCTCGTGATGATTCTTGCTGCTTCATTCTGCTTTCTTTCCAGTTTCCACCTAAGAACCCGGTGTGCCTGATAACCCACTTTCATTATGTAATGGAATTTATTATTGTCTATAATTTGTATGTTTAAGAGCCAGTTCTAAAAACAGAAGTCTGCTTAGGAGCCCAGTTTGAGTTGAGGGCAAAAGGTTTTGCTTATTGTCATGCAAAGAGGCCCTCTTCAGGGCCCCCTCTTTACAATTAATTATAACGTTAGGAAATTCAATAAAACACACCATTTAAAATTTGCCTAATACCAAATCCACCCTAGAACCTGCTTTTTAAAATCTATAGATGACCAGGTTTTTTTGGCAGCAATCACTATACCTTCCATACCAACAGTACAGGATAATTTAATGCATACAGTACAAAGACAAAACACATGATGTAAGTAATACAAATGGTGCTTTTCACCCCGAAAAAGATAAAGCCATGGTCAAGTTTCGGGAGTGAAAAGTCACTTAGGAACTACCTGCAGCATGCACCCCCCTTTTATGTATTTGCCATCTCTGTTATGAAAATCTTTCTTTACCTCTAAGTAACGTCAGTCTCTTCTTGGAAAGGTCTTGCTCTTCCTCAAGTAGCTGAAAATAAATCATGCAATTGCTAGAAAATTTGAAATCAGTCAACAAAACAAGACAGTACCAGTTCAATTTGTACCGGGTCTCCAAAAACAAATATACTTTTCAACTTTCATTTCCATTGTTAATTCTATTTACCTTTCATTTCACACGCATAAAATTCTATTGGTCTGCTCTTTTCACTATGGACTGATACATGTGCTTGGCAGCAAAAACATAGATTATGGCCATTTGAGCTTCAATTAAAGGACTTTTCTACCACTGCCATCACATTAAAGCTTCACCTTACATCATGAGGCACAACATTAGCTCACCCAACAATGACTGAATAAGGAAATCAAAACAGAAAAGTGTGTGTTATTCTCACCTGGTTGCGTCTCTCTGTGCATTTATTGATCTGTGTGACTGCCTGTTCCAGCAGTCGGTGCAGTCGGGTCAGCCTCAGCTCCATGTTGGTCATCTCCTGCTTGACGTGTTCCTCCCGCTCCGACAACAGCAGAAGCTCCGCCATCGCAGCAGACGGATCTGACGGGAAGTAATGAGAAGATTCAGAGAAATGTCGCAATCCTCGGTGAAAATTATTAAGAAAATAAGATTTTAAAAAAGAAAATATAGTTACAGTAATAATAAATATTACAGAAAAGTTAATTCGTATAGTGACCATTCCAACGTTCCTTTAACTGTTGCATGTTATTTGTAAATAAAATCAAAACCTGAGCATTTAGTAAAACATACTGCAAAAAAATACAACCACAAGCAATCCCCTACCCCCAATCTCTCTCTCTATATATATATATCTCTCTCTCTCTCACCCTATCTCCGTCACTCAAACCTTATTCTTTCTCATAAATCCTCCTTGTGTGTCCGATGGCGCGGATGCTAAGCAAAATGACTGACAGAACCAGAATGGACCTTTGCAATCAAAACATGTCAAATGCATTCACATAAAAATTTTACACAATGATTTCCAACTTTTTGGCAGCAAATGGATGCCAAAAGTAAGGCTATCTGGCTCACAAATAAAAACAACACGCTCTTAATGATAATGAGCATAAGAGACAAGAATGTAAGGTAAAGAGGGATGAAGGAATTATATGAATTACATGCAAGGCACTTTCACTCACCACTGTGCACCGACTCAGAAACGCTCATGGCATCCGGCTGGACCTCCACCTCATTGTCAGTGCGACCTGTGGCTTCACCCTCTGCCAACAACTCAGAAGGCACCGGTGTTGATCGTGCTGCAACTTCTGCTGTCTCACATCCGATACTCCCGAGGCTAGACAAGGACAGGGGTAAGGAGGGAAGCCCGCTCCCTCGGCTTATGGTGGCATTTGTAGCCATAGGAGACGTGAGAGACGGTGATGATGATCGAAATGGTGGAGGGGACTTGGATTGTGAGACTGGGCCACATTCACTCACTCGACTTCCGCGGGGATTTGCCGAAGGAGACAAGAGAGATGGTGATGATGACCGAAGCGTGGTCAATGGTGCAGGGGACTTGGACCGTGACACTGGGCCGCTGGCAGACAGCTCAGTGGATGAAGGCGAGGAACCAACATGTGTATTTGTGGAGTAAGGTATTGAATTGGTTGGCAGAGTAACAACACTTGGTGAAGAAATTTCAGGCATATTTGAGATAGGCACTCTCTCAGTCCGAGGAAAATCTAAGATTGTTGGAAATTTTTGCTTGACAGTGTCAATTGTCAAAGATGTTTGGCTTGGGGTTCTCTGTAAAGAATTAGGTGACATTTTTGTATGAATTGATGAAACCACCCCATTAGATGTCTGATATCTGTCATGCTGTGAAGACATATCACCTAAAGTTCTTGAAGTCGTGTCACTTGATGTCTTACTGAGATCTGGTGATGATGCCAAATAATTAGTTGATTTGCGATTCTTTTCAACTAGTGGACTCCTGCCTACCCCACTGCTGTTCTTTCGCTGAAGCTCAATATTGGTGGAGGAAGGGAAGCTTGTGTGTACTTCTATCTCTCTTTCTGCCCGGACCGGCCCATTGCTCTCCGACACACTTCTGAATCTGGCATATCCTGGAGTTGGGCGACTCGCACCTGTCGAGGAAGACAAACTGTCCACTTCGTTCCCAAGAGACACTACGTCGTGGGACCCTAAACTCTCATCATCCACAGTGGTATCCGGAACTTTATCTCTTTTCTTCTTCTTTTTCTTCACATTAGTTTTGTCCAACAACGCCTTATTCTTGACATTTGGTTTCCCGCCAGGCTTGAAATTTCTGCCATTATGAGAGCTATCGTTTGTCTCTTCATCGTCTGAGATGTTGATGATGTTTTGGCTGATCCCAGACAGCGACAGACTCGAGTTAGCGCCGATCCCCAAGTCTCCCCCAATCAGAGTCAGAATCTGATCCCTGACATGCTGGGACAGGTCTTCCAGTTTGATGTTGGTCGCGCGACCGTCCTTGTCCAGGTTCACACTGACCGACTCCATGTCCACATTGTCGTACAGGCCTTCCAGCTGAAGGCTGGTCCTGAGTGCTGCTCGCGGCTCCTCACGAGACTGGAGGATTTTCGCCAGCTGGACACGTTCATTTCTGTGAGAAAAGAAATCCAATAAACAAATCCCATCAACGTGGATTAATGGACAAACAAATAAGACATTCAACGACCATAGATAAAAGATATTTTTAAACCATCTATTGACCAAGGTAAAATAAACTGCATAATCTGTCTATTAACTGAAATTAAATAATCGCTTATCAAGAGATCAATTAATTAGCTGATTAAAGCACCGAAACTTCTTGTAATGCCCCTTGCAACTTATTGCGTATTTATACACAGCTTATATCAAAACAATGTACACAGCTAATAACAAAACACCAACTTCATAATGAAAGACAAAATAAAAATGAAACAATAACTATATCATGAAACAGCATAACCATACATAAAGCCAAAATGGGAAAGAGAGACATGTCACACAACAAAAAAACTGAGAAAAACAAGTTTTAAGAAAAGAGCTAGTCAGTTTTCTGCATGAAATTTATAACGATAGCCCTCTGAAAAAAAAAATCATGCATGGGGGAGAATACAGGATAGTGTTGTTCTGGTCCACAATGGTTAATAGCTTATCAATTGAACATTCCTCAGAATCTTTCACCTTCATGAAAAAAACAAGTAAACTCTGCAAAATCAAAATGTCAATTTAACACCAAGACCATGGTCAACAAGGTCAGTTTATCTGGCCTCCCTCCATGTGAGGAAAAAAAACCTTAAGAGATGTTTTGTAGCATGCTCAAGATTTGGTCACAAAAACACTTTAATCATTTCACTGAACTCTACTGGGCATAATAAACATGCTTTTATAGACTTTATAACTACAATCTAATGTGTCACTCCTGCTTGGTCTTAATGCGACCGATTTTCAAGTCACATCAGTGGTTTGTAATGAACAAAATAGTTATCCGGCCCCCACGAAGCATTTTTCAAGTCACCCGGCCCACTTTGGAAAGTTTTGATGATCCCCAAGCTAAATTAACAGAAAAGACAGCCAAAGAACAAAACTGTAGATGTGCACTTAAATGTGAAATGTTTGCAAATGACTCATTCTTTCAGAAAGTTTCTCACTTTATACTTTATACTACACTCACTCAGTGGAAATCCAACGTTTAATGCAACATCTTTGGTGTTCTAGGTGGAAACACATGGTTTTTTTTCTGCTGCAAGGAATACATTACAAATATCTTACCTTGACCTTGGGGCATTCACCATATTCTTCAGATTGTCTTTCGTCAGATTGACAGAGCTGGACCGTGATGCGGAGAAGCCCGACGACTCTCTACTGTCGCTGAGCCTCGCACTGGGACTCTCGACCGACCCTCTTGCACTGGGACTCTCTGCCGACCCTCTCCGCACCACACCGGCCTTGGCCTTTGAGTTTGACGCTTGCTTCTCCTCCAACACATTCTTCTCAATGGATTTCATGATGTCATCCAGGGTATTCCCTTTTGCTCTGGAGTAATTATTCACTGGTCCCTTTGACGACGACGATGAAGAGAGTTTTGAAGAATGTTCTGACAATGTGGAATGATGGCTTTGTTTCGAGGGTAAAGTGGAGGCAGAGCTCACACCAGAGTCGTCGTTTTCCTCCCGAACTTTCTGCCCCTCCTGAATATGCCCTTTCACGTACGACTGCTGCTTACGGATAAGAGCACTCATTTTTTGACTTAACAACTCTTCATTGTGATGCTTCACAGCCGAACTCCGCTGGGCCTGCGCTGCTTCCCGCTTTTTCCTAAGCTCAACACACAGGCGCTCTGCCCGCTCTAGAATATTATCGCTGGCTTCTGTTAGTCTAAGCCTCGGCGACGAGGTCGGCTTGTCCCTTGCTTTTGGTGCACTTTCATTTCTTTGTGTGACCAGAGTCTGGATGTTCTTAACCGGAGGATTCGACTTGGAAGAAGTATCTCTGACGGGAGTATAATCATTAGAATCTGACTCTAAAGACCTTGAAGCTTTGGGTAGAGACTCCTGAACATCCTCTTCATTCCGAGGTCTTTTTCTGTCCCACTGAGACACTTGATGGTGGCCATTAACATGAGCAGGTTTCTCCGGCTTTTCCGTCTGATCCCACCGTGATCTATAAGGCTTTTCAGCTTGAAACCTGGGCCCCAATGAAGACTGTTGAGGACGGGACGGTGCATAACCCTGGGAATTTGAAACCTCCTTCCAGCCAGAGCCCGTACTATGTGTTCTCGAGTCTGTCTCTGTAAAATATGACCCATCGTCATTGGACCCACCATCCTGCTCCATTCCAGCCAAAAAATTCTCTTGCATAAGCAGCGACTGTTCATCCCAGTGCCCCTCATATTGATCAGTTGTAAAATTAATGTTCGAGTCCGCCTCTCTGTTTGCTGCATCTTTGGACCCATTGGAATCCTTTCTCTGATAGAACGGAAAATTAAAAGGCTGATTTGGACCTGAAGAGGTCAGGTTCCAGTTATGATCCAACTTAGCACCACTGCCCCAGGCAGGCCCCAACAACCCCTGACCTTGACCTCCTGCTGAGCCTCTGCCAAATCTGTCCACATCGGGGGCATGACCTGCTGCATGCCACGTCTTGTTGCCATAAAACCTCTGGTTGCCATATTGTAGTAGTCCAGATTCTGGACGACCCTGGCCTCTTAGATGGAATGGGGTGCCCTGTCCTTTGTTATTCCAGCCCTGAGAATAACCCCACTTGTTTCTCGGTTCACCGTTCCAGGGATAGTAGTTATCTGACATCTCATCCTCCACGTCCTTATATCCAAAACCACAGACTCTGGCATTCTTATTCTTCTTCCACTGAGGTGGGTTCCAGTTGCTCTTCTTGTCTCTCCTGAAAGAGGAAAAATGTAGGTAGTGTTATTTGAACACAACAATATAAACAAAACAAAAAAAAACACCTTTATATATTTTACATTCCTCCTGGAGACACTTCGCCAATAATGGCATAAACAATCATACACTTTTAAAAAATCTAAATAAAAAGTTGCAACAACTTCACATAACACACACATTAATACAAACACAAAAAATTAAACAAACACACCACTCCAGGTCGCTACAACGGAATGCCCCAGGGGTGCGGGGTTTAGCTATGGTCATCATGTCTTGTTCAAGGACACACCCCAGTGACCATCCACTTAAAAGCTGCGGCACAAGTACATAAAAAATACAAAGCATTGTTATCAGTCCAGAAGATGCTTGGCCTGTTTTTCACTCAAAGCTATGGCGTAGTGGGAAAAGATATTAATAAGTTATTTTCTGTTGTTGGGGGAGGAAGGAAGATGTGGAGGAAAATATAACAGACTGTCAGATTAATACCTGAAGGATATTGTTTACAAACCTTCGTGGATGCTACGAGAGAGAGAGAGAGAGAGAGGGAGAGAGAGAGAGAGAGTGAGAGAGAGAGAAAAAAAAAGAGAGAGAGAGAGAGTGAGAGAGAGAGAGAGAGAGAGAGAGAGAGAGAGAGAGAGAGAGAGAGAGAGAGAGAGAGAGAGAGAGCTCACCATCTACTAGATCAAAAGCAATGACACCTAGTTAAACCTACTCATATTGCCACTTGCACAAGACAAACAACTACCGGTACAAACAGACACTTTCTCCTCCCCCGTCGCACATTTTTAAAATATAAATGCACTGACTAAAACAATAACCTGTCCAACAGCCTCTTTAATCTATAAACCAAAATCCTCAAAAATCTATTCAGAATCTATCATTGCCCAACGGGTTGCTAAAATTATTTATCTGCTGCCAACGCTGTGGACACACCATCATAATCCATTCACTTGGTGTTATTGTTGCTTGTCGTGTCACTAATCAGCACATTGCGACGGCTAGTTTCTGGTCCTTGCCACTGGTTACCCAAGTTGACCAGTTGATAACATTTTAATGGGCTTTACGGCAGTCCTGTGCATACGACAACCTCTAGCAGGGAACTCGGAAGGGAATAGTTGGGTTTTTTTCATGTGGATCAGTTCTGCCATCTAAAAACAGCCTCTTTTCCCGTCATCAATTAGAGTCCTAAAACAATTTCAACTGTAACTACAAAAACAAAATACCTCAAGCAGGGTGCACTTACCCCCTTCCGCGCTGTGAGGCCAAGTTCTTGTGCTCTCCACGATGAAAGGCCAAGTTCTTCTGATGCTTGTCCCCCGAGATGTGAGCCCGGTAGACAGACATGGTCGGGCACGTCACACCACACAGCTCACACTTGTGAACCGCATTTCTGAAACAAAATGTTAAAACAATCATTCTTAGAGGGACAGTTACTTCTGATAATCTTTTGTTTTGAGCCTACATGATTGGTTGGGAAAAAAGATCAGACTCTGCGGAGAACTTCCAACCTCTTCACTGCTGTGCTGACGTATGTACTTACTTATGCATGTACTCTCCAAAACTGGTACACTTGTATTTTCTTCTTCTTGTTTACAGAGGAAGTTTTACAACATTGAACTGCAGCTTGTGAAGTAGCTTACTCCCAGTAAAACAGAAATATAAATATGGCTTTGTTTATAGCTCTCTTGAACAGACATTTCATCTTTTCTGTACAAACTTAAATGGGAAAAGTCTTAGCAATGAAGGGGTTAATTCACCAAGAGAGTAAACACTTTTAATTTCCAACTTTCGTAAGCAGCTGTCCACACAAAACTTTCTGTGTGGCCAACATTGAATTGAAGAAGACTACAGAAAACAAATTCATTAGAAGCCCAAACAATATAGCTACTACCCGCTGCTAGTGTGCATACTCATGCCAACTTAAACACTCGCACTAAAAGCCAAACTTCTACAAAACTAGAAAATCAGATAGAAACATTCTTTAATGTAAGCAGGTAGCATTACTGCAATATCTTACTCTTCTTTATCCTCCAGTTTTGTATGATGCATCAGTGACACCAAGTGTTCTGTTAGTTCCTGAAAAAACATAAAGCAATGTGTGTGTCAAATACAATATCATGATCATAACAATCATAAGAGACAGACAGCACCATCTCTCCATAGTGCAAATAAAATAGAGATCACTCTACACTATGTTAGACTGTTACAGGACATGAATGGTTATGAAATTAGACGTAAAAAAGACCAAAATACATTTTTGTACTGACTGAATTTTCATGTCTAAATCATTCTATTAGACTGTCATCACCATGCGTAGAAGAGTTAACAAACTGATTCAGTACTCGTACATTTCAAGACCTTCCAACAGATTTCTCAGCTGCTGAGCAAACCTTATTGCTCCCATTTTTTAAAGGATTTCACAACTGAAGGGCACAGTAGTGTTACTTTCCTTTGTTGGCATCTTTGATTTCGAATTGTTTTTGGTTTGGGTTTTTATACACACCACAGGATCTTCAACAGCGAGTTTTGACTGAAAAACCCTTTACCGACTATTTTGTTTGTCTGGCTCAGTCCGACCATGCTTGAGGACAACTCTTCAGATGCCATAGCTCTGAGGTTACTGAGACATGCTGCATTTACAGTGACTTCAGAACAGCATATATCTAAAAGAAGCCCCACATGAATGGATCTAACGTAATAAGGCCCAAAAAGTACATCAGAAGTTTCCCCATAAAAACAAAGATAAGTCTGTAGATCATAAGTGCCTTGTGCCTTGAGGAAGTTTCAAAATGTGATCTATATTAACTAAACGTCCAACATAGATTATAAAAAGTTACATTTTAGACATTGGGTACATTAAAAGCTTTTCATTTATATTAGAACCTTTGCGGTATTATCGGTTATGCACTGCATATTGACAATATTACTTCCAGAATAATGGAAAAAATGTCAGCCTCACCTCGAAATAAATTACCAAATCGTTTTCCTAAGAGGTATTTTCCTCAGAGATTCTAAGTGTCTTAAGAATGCACTGGACTTATGAAAGGACTTTGGATATCATTTCTGCCCCATTCAAGAGCTCATTAACACTTTTGTATTGATACCCATCCTCACAGATCTCATCTGAAACAGCATGGATTATGAGAAGATTTTCACAACATCATTAATAACCAACATTGAAACACCACATGCCTTTTGAGATGTGTACGACAACTTGCACAGGTCACACTGTGCCTTCTTGACAGAGTTTGCGCTGCCAAAATTTTGAGCTCCTTGTGAGCTCTTGCTGGAGAGAGATGAGGACGATACCGAAGAAGAACCTCTCGACATCTTGGTAATTTGGCTGGTACCACTTGTGGCCTTTTCTTGCTGTCTTTTCTTCTTCTTCTTCTTTTTGTTCACTTTAACGAGAAAGATATTTTTTTTTTAAACACATCAGAACAATTTTTAGGACCATCAGTCATGTGCTCTTAAAGTTTCTTCACAAACTTGTTTCATCATTATATTTATCTATTCATTTCATATCATCATTGTGACAAGAAGAATATGAGTCTTTGTTCTTTTTTGCATTCCTCTGCAAGATCTCGTGGGGGGGGGGGGGGGGGGGGGGGGGAGATGAAGGCAGATGACAGAACATGACTAGAGAACAGGAAACGAAGAGAAAAGAGAAAATGTTTAGAGGAAAATTTCTCCTCGATGTCAGATTTGGAACCTGGGATCTATTGAGAGGCGAACCTCTAAACCACTAGAGCCCCCAAGAACACGAGTTACTCAAATATTTTTGTGCTCATCATGTGAAGCCGGGTCAAACAGAGTCACTAATGTATTGCAAGAACAAAGAAATGACGGTCAGCAAAAATAAATTACAGTCTGAACTAAAATACCATCAAGAACATCATTTTGAACATACAAGTTTGAAGCAATTTAAAAAATTTACGCTTCCTCCTATATAGGGTTATACTTTACCTTAAATTACTACTTAATGAAAAGGCATAGACAATACTGGTCATTCATAGACAAAAACAAAGGAGAAACATCCCCAAAAATTACTGTTCTAAGGATTTAACCTTAGAAAGAATACAATCATATCAGTATGCCTAATTCTAAAGCTATGTTTGAATATGTTTGCATACAATAATTACCTTTAAGATGCTGTGCATCAGTAGTAGTGTTTGTCAAAGTTGTAGAACATACCGGTTGCCTCTTCAGCTTACTCTTGCTGCGAGACATCAAAATGACTTACGCCTTCCCCTGATATTCAGAAAAATGGAGTCTACAATTAACTTTGTGAAGATAGAAACCATCTAATACAAAATTATAGTCCACTGTAAGGTTGGCTTTTTTCACATACAGACAAGCCTAAGTCAAAAAAATTTCACTGGTGAAAATATTCAGTTCTTTGATGGATAAACTGTAACAACCTCTTTATTTGGCCAATTAACTTGTGCTGGGTTAAACATTTATAATTAATATATAATAATTAATATCTGTACGATCAAAAAGCCAACCGTACATTTGTCAAACTGAATATGATTTATTATTTGTTTCCCTAGTGATAAGACCAACTAACCCAAGCGGAGTTATAGGAGAAGCAAAAAACTCATTTGGTTTCATCACATAGCAACCTGGCCGCCAGTTGACTGTTTGACTTTTATTAATAACATTTTAGAAGCTATCAAACCTGTCTTTGACTGAGTAAATGAAATGAATAATATGCTGTTGATTTGTTAATTAAAAATAAAATGATGTTTGGGCAATTTATCACAAGAGCAGTGATATAATAAATCAAATTTCTTGTAGTACTAATACCAACAAGACAAATTCAAATAATCTTCTCAATTTTTAAAATTTCATGAAATATTTTTAATTTAATACATGTACCATCCTTGATAGATAAGTATTTACAAAGCCTCTGGAAAGAAAGGCAAGTTTAATCTAAAAATCTGTTTGATGTATTAAGGCCATCTGCGGGTGAGATTTTCCCCATTTTTCCCCAGTATGACCATGCATTTTTTCCCCTCCATTTTTTAAACCTGCATCCAATTCCTTTAAAGTTTTGAGCGCCAGTTTCAATCAATTATGTTTAGAAGTCATTTCAAAATGTTTTTTGTTTTTTTTTTAATTTCCTTATTTTGGGTCATGTTTTTAAATATTTTCTTTATTTTTTTTCAAATAGTTATTTTTCTGACTTTAAATTACATTTTCTCCTTTATTTTTTAATAGCTTTTATATTTTACACAATGTACATCCATAGGTGACATGTACTGAAAGAGAGCCCTTTTTTGAAGATAATGAAAGAAGAAAATTACAATCAGTGCTTTTGTTGGGAATTTTGAGATTTTTTTTCTATTTATCCAGGTACAAATTTCCAGAGTCCATAATTATTTTCCTAATCATAATATTAGAAATCTGGCATTATTTGTTCATTACATAATGTGAAGCAGTATGTTCTTGCTAAAAATGAAAGCCAACGGACGAAAACTAAGAGAGAAGATAGCTTTCGAAATTTGATGAAATTATCCAATATGGCAGATGTTTGCTTGATTTCCATGGTTACAAAGTGCTTATAATAATAAATATTTACTTGAATTTATTCTTTGATGTCTGAGTAATATGAATATAATATTATATCATCGTTGCTGTATATAGTCAAGGGATATGGATTTTAGAAATTTCACCAGCAGATGGCCTTACCTGAAATGAAAACACAAGACAAGAAAAGATTTAAAGGCATTAAAACAAGAAAGCATAACGAGCAAAAATATAAGGGTCAGCATTAACCTTAGGGTCTATCATTTTCAAGATATGCTATGTAAGGAAAACTTGAGATAGCCCTGGCAGAGAAGTTAAGTCAAAGGAGGTTTAAAGATAATGACAATGACAGAATCCAGTGAAAAGGGGGAGTGTACTTCTGTTAAGTACCGGTACTTATCAACACTACCATCATAAAGTAGGTCTATGTCTATGTTGTAATTGGATGCTTTACCATTTCAACAATTAACAACAACGAAGAGCCTATTTGAAACGCTGCATTGTGATTAGCCCCATGCTAAATAAAACGTTGCATGTTGAATATCCCCATTAACTAAAATGCCAAAACCCAGATCACAATGTTTGTTTATTGGTCACATAAATCTAATTGCTTTCTCACATCTGCCTCATTTTGAAGATGGCACCCGTGCACCCCATGTTTTCAAAAATCAGAAACATACAAAAATGCAAACAAGCCAATATATCATTTCTTCTTCTTCTTCAAGATTAAGTACAGAGGCTGTTTCTCGCACATTGCAGGCTCACAGACTGTACATTGTTTATCCCCCTGGCAGGCTAATATTTCCCATGAAACTTCTAAACTCCTTGAGGAGCATACAATACATTAGTCATTACAATTCTGACAAGATCTTTCACTTTCACTGCCTATAGCCATGTACTTTTTTCACAACTGAGTCGAGTGAAGTAAGCAATAGCTAAGGACAATATAATTTTACATTTAACAAGCTAATCGTAGGTTCTCCCAAAGTGATAGGTAAGGAATTAATACGTTTATGACAGTAAAGTGTACGCAGAGATATTTTTAGGTATGCAGACAGGAAAAGGGCCTGCTGACAACCGAGTTGCACCATCTTGTTATTGTTATACACTCCAAACGTGGACTTACTTGCTTGCTCAAACTCAAATCATTTTAATATAATGAGAGATGAACAAGACTACTTCTAGGCACACAAAGTCAGAAATAACTGTTAAATCTAGACCTCTATATCTACCCAATATTGATCAGTATAAAAGACATCATAAAAATGGAGTCAAAACCTAAAAGGTTTATTCCAGAAACAGAAAGCTTCCACAATTCAGGCAGTGGAGCGATAAAAAGTAGGTTTATAAGAAACGATGGCTACTAGCACTGGCGCTTCAAATAGCACACAAGAAGGCTAATCAGAACACTTCGTTTTGATCAGCACGGGACCCGAGCTATTCAGAATGCGGCGTTTCCAATAGCACAGGCCTAACAACAAATTAAAGACGATATTTCTCAGATCAGTTTCACCTAGAATAGCTTTGTTTTGAACAATCATCCACTTTTAATACAAAGTAAGACGCTTTAGTACATTAAAAAATAATATTTATAATGTGGTTTAGTAATTAAACTTAAGTTAAGTTAAATAGTCAAGAATGAATATCAACAGTACAATAGTCTGAGAAGTCAAGACAATCAAGGCATATATTATTCTTTCATTTCAATGCCTTGTTTCTGTTTTATCTCATTCCTCTTAAAAGACAAAAAAAAAATTTACCTTTTCACAGATTCCAATACAAAACTTAACTATGAGGACTAAATTTATTTTACTTTTAAAATACTCCCATCTTACGTTCAGATCGTCATTTAAGTAAGTATGATCTTGCACTTCTCTTGCTCATTTTCCATGAATTTTTCATTTGTCTGTCGCAAATTATTAGTAGTAACTAGACATTATATTACGGATTTTTTTTTTTATTACACTAAGCCCAATTGTGAAATTTATTTTGCGTGATTAATAAATCTGTCACCCCATAAAGGCTATAAAATCAGTCAATTTTTACTTTTATTCCCTCGTGCAAATGCACTGCTTTTAGGGGCTAAACCACCATAAATTTTGACCGCAGGTAGAAATTTGTATTTTTTTGGCTGTCGTTATTCTCACCTGGGGTGAAAATATAATATTTTTCTCACCCAGTGAATAATATCCATTTTATTCTCACCCGGGGTGAGAAAAATATTATATATATATATATTGTTATTCTAACGCTGTAAGATGTAATGGATTTTTATTCTTAGGCCTGCCTGGGTATTGAGAACTGGTAGGCATCCGTGTAGGCTATAATATAGGATGATAGAAAATAATTTGTGAATTGTAAGAGTGACCGTTTGTAAGTGACCTGCCCCAGAGAGCTGGCTGATTTTTCTAGGCTCCCGCGGGGATTGTTACTGTTTCATTTTTTTAAATCTTGAGAGTATGCACGTATATCTTCACCAAAACCCTCTAGACAAGTATCTAAATCTAGATCTATTCTGAATTTAGAAAGGAATTCACTCGCCTGAGTAGTATGTTTTTAAAAATAATAGCCTTAACTGAGAGCTGTTTAATGAAATAATGTGTTACTAAGTTTGTCATTGAAAATTTAGAGATATAAAATTGGCATTTGTTTTTACACATGAACAACACAAAAAACATACAGAACCCACGATTATTTTTAGGACACGCAGTGCCTTGACCCTGGGCTTATTTTTTTTCTTAATTTTGATTGGTTAAACCATCAAGTGTAAAATTTTCCATTACAGAACCAATAAATAGCAACAAAAGGTGACGCTATTTGCTCAAAAGATAGGTTTTCCCCCATATCGACAATAGTTAGTCGTCTTCCCGCACTCGAGAGCTGGCCCGCCCTAGGCGATTTTAGTCACCTCACGCGCTCAGCGGAGAGAGAGAGGGAGGCGAGTTTTGTCGCCTAGAGCGCTCAGTGACAGCTTCAGCAAGGGTCTATAATGCCCGAAACGAAAAAGGGGGGAAATAAAAAGGGTGGAAACGAAAAAACCGGGTGCGAATATCCAGTTTATCCTCACCCCGGGTGAGAATAATAAAGTATCCGATTTTTTTACTTTCCCTCCAGTCTCACATTTAGCTACCAGTCGTCCATTGTTAATTAAATATCGCTGCGCTGAACACGAAAATCGACTTCATTTCCGTCACAAATTAAGTTTTTTAAATATATCTGATTGTTCTTAAATCGAAATAGATTGTGCTTTGGATCAATCGAGGGGTTTCAGGGGGGCCTGCCCCTCTGAAAAGAAAATCTGGAGGGTTACACCCCTGTTTTAACACACATGCGATTAAACGTAGAAAGACGCAACCTATTTTTAGGTACCGCGCCCATCTTGTTTGACGTCAGACCAGGATACCCCTCCAATCACGTGACTACATCTAAGTATAGCCAACCGCATGGCACCAAAGATGGAAGTGTCTATGTATATAACGCTTAATCTACACTAAGCTTTCGGAAGTTCTGATGGCCGAATAGACAGCGCGTTGCGTTTGAAGTCATCATGCAGTGATTTTAGGAGCGGTTTGATTCTGGTCCCAGACTATTTTTTTCGAAGTGACTATTTCTCCGAACGTTCGGAGAAATAGTGCCGATCTTTATTTCTCCGAACGGTTTCCGGCTTCCGCTCTGGTCGTGATTGTTTGCCTATTTGCGAGAGTTCGGCGCCAACTTTCATTCCGTCATTCTGCGAGGTCTGGGAAGGAGCAAATCAATGGTGGTATCTGTTCTCAGCTTCTCCTCCGGCCGTGTGCCCACTGGTTTAGCGAGGCGGGTACTGCCTGAGGCACCCGAGAGACGGAGAAATCTGACCCTCTTTTCTATTGAGTGGACGGTTATCGTCCATTAAAAAAAAAAACCAGAGCAAATTTTTGGGTTTAGATCTATTTCAATTTTCAAGAGCTAGATCTAGTCTAGAGATTTTTAGATGAGTGTAAAAACGTGAAAAAGAAAGGTTTCACAACAGAATGAAATCAAAACTAGAACAGCCCAGAAACAACCACAACAATTAACAAATAAGGGCGTGTGTCCACCTGTCCGAAGAAGAATGACCGTTTTAACCCTAAATGTGCGTAATTTGTAAAAAAAAGTACAGGATATTGCATGGAAATTATGGAATCACACACAGGGGATCTGCCAGTGTCAGTACATGTAATTGGTTTTGGTGGAACGCTCTAACATAGCACATTTAAATCTATACAGGTATATATATTTAGAATCTAATGAAGGTAGGAACATCAAATTAAATGACGTTACACAATACCTTTTGTAGAAACATCAAATTAAATGACGTTACACTATACAACCCCCCCCCCCCCCATTTTCCCCAACAAAAAAAATTAATAGAAAAACAACACATCAAGAAAAAAAAAATACACACCAACAAAATATAACACCACAAAGAGGGAAAAATAAACGAAAAATAATAGAGGAACAGCAATACAAATCGTATGTAACTGTAACGTATTCAACAAATCAACGTGGTGACAACAAGTGAGAAAGAGACGAAGTGAAGCTAAGTGAACTTTCTTTCAAAAGTAAAGAGGTTCATTTTCTTTTTTTTTTTTTGACTTTTTCGGGGACCAAAAAATCGAGCCACGATTGATTGGTCGCGGCCTCGACAAACGCAGATGCTAGCTCTATGTGTCGTTATCAATAACCCTCCATAGATCTAGATCTAGACAGCTCACGAGTGAACGCAACACATTAAGTTTAAGAGCAGCACCCTTCATAGGCCACACGTCATATCTGTAGCGAAAAACTGTTTGGAACTGTAGCATTTCTTTATATAAATACGGACATTTTTTGGACCGATTGAACCATATTGTATACGAACAATCTTTGGTAGGCCTATAATATAATTATAGATCTATATTTTATTTTTATTATCTGAAATATGCGGGAAAGGGTGTGATTTTTTTCTTTTCCTCCTCCCGACTGACCGACAGTCCCATATAAGTTATAATTTGTAGAGCTGCTTTGAAGTTTGTTTGTTTTTTTCATGTATATTAGTGATATTAGTGATGAAGAATGAAGAATGCAGGAGATTGGGGGGGGGGGGGGGGGGGGTAGATCTAGATCTAATCCTCCAGCGTCTTTACGGCAATTTTTGTACACTTCCATCTTTGGTGCCATGCGGTTGGCTATACTTAGATGTAGTCACGTGATCGGAGGGAAATCCTGGTCTGACGTCAAACAAGATGGGCGCCGTACCTAAAAATAGTTTGCGTCTTTCTACGTTTAATCGCATGTTGTTTTAAACCATAGGCTAATCTAATATTTTACAGTTAGATTTGGAATTTTCTTGAAAATAATTGATTTGTGACAGTTTTAGAGGATTTATGTGTGATCTGCAGCAAACAGTACTGCAGATTGACCCCTGAAGCAGTGCATCTGTGTGCGGGAGTGAAAGTTAAAATTTGCCCTAGAGCCTAGAGTCTATGCCTCTCTTTGTATTGTGAGACTGCCACCTGTCTAATACGGCCATTTCTCTGGTCCTCAACAATGAGTGGCCTTCTTGAACAGTTTCAACTATCATTTCAAAAACTGATATTTTGTGAGGGATACAAATATACAAAGTCGAAATTCATTTCATATGAAGTGGAAAATAGTGAACACAACAAACAGCTAGATCTACATCTAGATCTAGATCTAATATATCTAGAATAGAACTAGAAGTCTAGATCTAGATATCTATAGATTAGAATATCTGGGCAAGATGGGAGTGAAAGTAACATTATAGCACCTGAAACTGAATTTAGGAATTTCAGACTTCCCAACCAGTTTGGCTTGTTTACACAGTTCAGAGTTCAGTGGAAATGTTTAGATTAGATATTAGCTCTAGAATCTAAACCCCTGCGATCACTGCAGTACAGAGTCATTGTTTGTGCCTACCCATATTAACACTTCCAGCTCTGCCTCAAGATTATTAATCCCTGTCGCTTGAGGTGGATCAAGAGATCTCGTAATTGAAGTGAAAGTAAGTTATCATGAACGGACATGTTCATGATAACGGAGTTCTGTGGTGATGGATACCGCGGTCAAGATCTCTATAGGCTATACTCCCCAAACCCAAATTCAGCACTCCGGTATCTAAACAGGAAAAATAAATATTCAGGAGAACAATACAATAATATTCATATTAGAACATACATAATTCAACCCTAATATTCGGTGCACGAGATATTGACCTGTGGGAAAACATGAAAAACTCACATTTTCGATCTTTGTTTTGCTTCCATTTAGTCCCCAGATTTTGTGCAAGACTTCGTTTCGGACGAATCCTGTTGAATGGGTACAGTTTTAGTCTGTATTCTTTTCGCTCGGAAAAGGCCTGGTTGTAAAACAAAAATTAATAATTACCGTAGGGCCCACTATTCAAATTGCGCTTCGAACCCTCACAAGATCTATTATAGCTCAAAGTACAAGGCCTTTTATATAAGCTAACTAAAGAAAATTTAATACGCTCACACACATTCGTCCTCTCTCTCTCTCTCTCTCTCTCTCTCTCTCTCTCTCTCTCTCTCTCTCTCTCTCTCTCTCTCTCACACACACACACACACACACACACACTCACTGCCCCCCTCCCCTTCTCCTCCTGCTCTCCCATCCTCCCTCATATACTAGCCAACAATAACATACATTTCAAAGCGGCTAAATCTGGTTTAATTAGTGAGAGACTGGACGATCGAAAGCTTATTATTGGGAGAAACTCTCTCCACATGAAGTGTTTTGACAGTGCCATCGGGATTTGGCTTAGTGGCCCTCATGGATGGTGGCCCTTAATAGGTCCAGTTGAGTTCGGGGGTTGCTCCATCCCCACGAGTCGTCCTGACGTTTGAGAGCATAGACGACACCCATAGATGTGACCGAAGACTGTAGAAGCTGTCTGCCTTTTGTTTTGCGTGCTCGGTTTAAGTGACATAGCATTCCAGATGTTTAGTTTTAGTAAAGTTTTACTGCGCTCGCAACTGCATTAGGTCATATGAGCGCCAAGGGGTGGATGTCAACGGAGAAGTCTAAACGGGGAATATGGTTTACTCTGCTCGCCCTTCTAGTTCTAGCCTCAACAGCACAACGTCTGCTTCGACTGTCAAGGCACCCCGGAAATACCAGTTCACAAGTGAGTGACAAAAGGAGTAGAAGGAAAATGATGATAGTAAGGATGAGGAAAGAAAAGGCAGCAGTTCCTCCTATGTTGTTCCGACACAGTATGAGCATGACATTGACAAATCAGCCCATTAACAATTTTACTGTGAATAAGAACATATTAATATGTTAATATCCCACCTTTGGGAATTGCCCAACTAGACACTTCATTAAGTCAGTAGCACTTTCACGGATCTTGAAGAGGAGGGAGGAGCAGTTATAATTATATATAATGATGGCATTGTACGTGCTACCTGCAACGATTATACCTGTTCTCCAACCAAGAAAGTGGGGGCTCTCGTGGCCTAGAGGTTAAGGTGTTGGCCTCTCATTCAAAGGTCCCGGGTTCGAATCCGGGTAGGGACCGAAAAATTTTCTTCTCTAAAATTGTCTCCTTTCACCTCCTTTCCTGCTCTCTAGCAATGTTCTGTTGTGTGCTTTCAATTCCACTTTCTGCCCCCACCCCCTCACCTCCTTTGCCCCCTCCTCTGGGCTCCTGACTCTTTCTGCAGCCTTTCTACTGCTACTCCTTGGCTCCTACTTACTGCTGATCTACACCTAGCCTTCTCGGACAATGGCGAAAAATCTGGGAGGACTAATGTGCAAGTTGCGCACGTTAAAGATCCCTTGGTGGTCTAAAATCGATGAGAGTAGGCTTCGGCCGCCACCCGCAAATATTAGGTGTGTCCCGCGCGCTCATATGACCTATGAAGTTGCGAGCGCCGTAAAACATTTTACCAAAAAAACAACAACAAGAAAGTAAGTGCTAATTGGTAAAAATATTTTCGAGGAAGACCTGAAGCACAACCAAGAGCACAACTCTTCTCTCTTCGTAGATCAAACCAGAAATGTGCCTGCTACACCACGACTGACTTAACAGTGAATTATACAGCGGGCTTGTGGTGCTCTGGATGCTATCCTCGCTGAGCAATCCACCAGTTCACCTCACCTTCTTATATTCCCCATTGTGACTTTTTCTTGTGGAGGTATTCGAAAGACAAAGCCTACCGTACTCCGCACCTAAAGCGTAGTAAGCCTTCAGGATTTACGAGACAGAATTCACCGATAAGCGGGCGGACGTTCTGAGAGTAAACCAAATACATGTAACTGTAAGGGGATCTGTAACTGTGACATGGTTTGTCGATGCTGACTTCATCTACACTGCTTGGAGATACCACTTTGAAATTGATTAGCGGTTTTTTTGGGTTTTTTTTGCTTTTTTTTTGGGGGGGGGGGGTTCTTTCCAACTTTAATGTTTCACACAATTAAAACGAGGAACTGTCATCTTCATCATCCAGTGTCAGATCTGCAACAGACATCGGCGATCATGGTTTTCCATTCATTCCTTTGCTCGGATGCTCTCAAAAAAGCTACGTTTCCCTGATCTTTCCCTGTTACCCATTTGTTCAGGTTCCCTATGTATGTTGTTCTGGGCCTAACCCTGGAGGAACTGTAATGACAATTAAATAAAGGTAGCACGTGCAGTAAAGTCCACGAAATTTAAACACGTTAATCACAAATCTCGGGTATAATCTCGAATATAACGCTCGATCCCGTTTCAGTCCCTGTTTTCTTTGTTCCCGAACAACGGGCGGCAACATTCGAACCTTGAACAAATCCACTTTGCATCCTCAACTAAAGACATGGCTTTAATTACAGCCTTTTCTAACCGCGAGTAGGTGTTTCTTTATCATTGTTACAGTCAAAACGTGGTCCCTGTCTCACCACGAAAGGCTGTAGGAAAGGGGAGGGTGGGGTCAGGGAAGGGGGGTTGGGGAGTGATGCTGACCCGCAGAATTCTACACAAGTGTAGAATTCTGTGTGCTGATCGCACCGCTCGCCACGCGTGCCTAGTGTGCAACACAGAATTCTAAAACAAGTGTAGAATTCTGTGGTGTGCAATTAATATTATGCTGTGCGACGCTGCGGTGCGGATGGCACGGACGTAACTTTCTGTAAGCCACTGAAAAGAGACAAAAGGAATGAAGTTGGAGTCGGCTGTTCACACGTGAGATTTTCTTCTTTCTACTTTCATTCACCTTCTTTTTTTCACACCGTCAATCGGTGGCGTCGGTAGCCTAATGGTTAGGCTACCGGACTCCTAATCGTGAGATTGCGGATTCGGGGGTTCGAGCCCACAGAATTCTAACACTTAAGTGTAGAATTCTGTGTTCGAGCCTCAGCTCGGTCCGACGTTGTATCTGGCTCGGTCCTATCGGAGATGGACGTTAAACTAGGAGGTCCCGCCCCTTATATAACCTAATAGTGTTGATAGGGGCGTTGGTCCCATACCATTTTTTACACCGTCAACGCTTTCATCATGGGAGCCAAACACATCAATTGTGTTAATGTTCTTTTAAAAAAACTTCCCTTGATTGTCTCCCTATTTCTTTGTATCTGGGGCTCCCACGGACGTGACGAATTACGGAAATCTCGAACACTATAACCTATCCCCGACGAATTCGAGTTACCCGTGTTTGACAGTAGTTTCAATAAAAATGAGCCCACGATGAAAAAGAAACGCCTCAATTAGGCTATCAAAATTAAAAGATCAATAGTGAACCCTTCTGTACGGCTGTGAATGCTGGGCAATTACCAACAACAGTGAACATAAAACCGTCGAAGCATCAGAAATGTGATTTCTTAGAGAGCAGGTAGGAATTTCTTGGAACGAAAAATTTAAAAATCAAATAAGGCATTAGTGAGGAAACTGCACGTTGAGTGCTCTCCAATAAAAATAATTTTAGGAAGAGCACAAGCTAAATTCAGACTACAGACATAGAGACAGAGCTAGACCATCAATCGAAGGTTCAATTCGAGAGTCATATTATGCAATCAGTGATCGAATACACAATGCACACATAATATGCACATGTTGTAGGAGCGCACCTCTTCTTCGTGTATTTCATGTAATGCTTCTTGAGTGCTTGTATACTTGTGTAAGCTTGCACATGTATTTTGATTTTGAACGTCTTTTGTTACTTTACTTACTTTTACTTTTTCATCCTCTGCTGCCGTTAAGCGTCGAGGGGAGATGCAGTTTTCTATGGTAGGCCAGCTCCGCAGCTCTTTCAGTTGTGATGTTATGTTTTCTTAGAGTTTCCTTGACACCCTCGATCCCCCTTTTGCGTGGCCTTCCTCTTCCTTTATAGCCTGAGTGCCTGGTGTTGTAGGCTCTCGAGGCTGGATGGTCAGGTGACATGCGTAACAGGTGGCCAAACCATTTTATTTTCTGTATTTCTATGTAACACAGGCAGGACTCAGTGCTGATAGCTGCTCTTACTTCTTCATTTTTCTGCCTGTCTCGTCTAGTGATGTTGTTGAGTTCGGTAGTGTGATTTTGGAGGCTTTGTTGGTCATGATGAATTAGACATTGGTTGTCTGCGAACAGAAATTCATTTAAGTTTTCTGGGCTTTAGTTTGTGTCTTGCGTTAATTGTGACCATTTTTAAATATATTATTATTATAAACAGGAGGGGAGATAGAACGCATCCCTGCCGTACTCCAAATCTCACTTTGAAGTGTATTGCCTTCCTTCGTTCTTACTGAGCTTCTGCTGTTGGTATATAGAGCACTAACATTATCAAACATTTTTCCTTTGAGGCCACACTTTTCGAGTGTCTTCCAGAGTTTTGCATTGTTTACTCTGTCTAAAACCTTCTCCTGGTCTATAAAGACGATGTTGGACTGTCTTTTATTTCACATTTAAATAATTTTAAATTCTCCTGTGTTGAAAGATAACTGTATTGGGCATGTATAATAAATAGTTCAGATTTTCAGCGCTCAAATAACCGGAACAGTAAAAAAGGGTTAAAGTTAAGAATTTAAACTGAATTTAGTCCCTCTTTTCAAGCATTTTGGGTGACAAGTGTTGTGAGCACAGAATTCTGTGGTTGCGAGGCAAAACCTAAAATTGCCACAAGCCAATAGGCCGATGTACAATAGGCCTAAATTACCGACGAAAATTGGAAAAGACGCATTTGATCTGGGGAGAGCTCTTTTAACTTGCCAGTGTTGAATTTTGCACAACAACAAAAAATGGGTGGAAGGGAGGGTACATCTGCACCTTTTAAGTTTTTAATCAGGTATATGATGATAGAAGATGAATTTTTTTTAAAAGCTAAATTTTTAGCATGAATGTATACAAAAGACATTATTCTATAACTTTAAAGCTTCGCAAAACCTTTTCAATGGAACTGTTCACTCAAGCAAGTTAGTAATGGGAAATTTGGCAAGTTAAAACGAAATTCTCTGGCATACTGACAACAGCGGCGATTTCAAAATGGCTGCATCCGAAGGTAAACAACCAACAACGGAAGGCTTCGTTTTTTAATAATAAATAATGCCTAGAGCAGCACCATGTAGAACAAGCATGTAGTTATTACATGTTGTCTGCAAAATTGTATTGTTCATCTTTTGAGACCTAGAATCTAGATCTACGCCTACATTAGAAGAAGAAGTTCCGCAGAGTAGGGCTGGATCCTGCTCGTCAAAGGCCACCTCTATTCTCACCCAGAGTGAGAATAGTGCAGGCGAGTTTTGTGGCTATTCTCACCCGGTGCGCGTTCACCAAATTTTGCGTTCACCCTAAACCACAGAATGCTACACTGTGATCACAGAAAAATTGTAGAATTCTGTGCCGTGAACAGACGTTCCATTACAACTGTAGCCACATGCCGTTAAACTCGATGACGCATCTTTCTGATTGGCTGCTTATTTTAGTAATGTGATGTCATCACTTCCTGGGATACCCAAACATGGAACGACGTGTTTTCGGTAACATTTCGGATTTTCTAGATCTAGATCTAGATTCTAGAGATCTAGATTAGATCTAGATCTAGATCTAGATCTAGATTCCAGATTAGATCTAGATTCTAGATCTAGAACTAGATCTAGATCTATTATGCCTACCTGGACATGATGGAAGACCGCACGAAAATTGCCGTAAAGACGCAGGAGGACTAGATCTAGATA